TGCATGTACGCAACTACTAGTCGATGATCGGTTCCACATTCAGCGCTTCTTTTAACTCTTACATCCTGTATCTTAATTGTTGTAGTTATCCTAACAACTATGTAATCTATTATGGATCTTAGATTCCTAGTTTCTTGTATCCAGGTGTATTTGTGGATGTCTTTATGTTTATAGAAGCCGTTGGTAATTTTTAAGTCGTTTAATTCGCAAATTTTAATTAATCTTTCACCATTGTCATTAATTGTGTCCTCCCCGAAATGGCCTACTGTTTTGTTATGTGCTTTATTTCCCGTCCTTCCGTTAAAGTCCCCAGCTATTATTATTTCTTGTTTAGTTTTCACTTTTTCAATTTCTTCCTTTAGAGTTTCAAAGAATGTAATTTTTTCTGTAGCGGGGCTGTCGTTTGTTGGTCCATATACTCCTAATAAAACTATTGATCTGCCGCACATTTTCAGGTGTACTGTGATTATATGTTCATTAATGGGTTCCCATGATGTAATGGTTTTCTTCCATTTCTTGTTGATAAGTACCGAAACCCCAGCTTTAGCTCTGTTTTCTTTATTAATACCGCTCCACATGTGTAGGTGCCCATCTATGTCTTCTGTGCCATCTCCTTTCTTTTTTGTTTCGCTCATTACCAGTATGTCTATCGTAATCTCATAATAGATATTATGACTCAAAATATTTGCAATATATATCATTCCGCTCAGTATTCGAGAATAATAGGTTATAGAGAAATACAGAGAAATATTGCTTAGCTAGATTGTCTACGTTTCTCCAAAGGCTCTCTTAACTCAAGTTTCTTCGTCTTTAATTTAAATTTTTTTTAGGTTTTTAAATCGAGTAACAAACATTATTTAATCAAAAAAGGCATTTACTTTATCGCATAAGCTGTAACTTAAAAATAACGCTAATTAAAATTGAACTGAATTCAAACCAATATCTCTTCAAGTATGGAAAATAGAAAAATGATAATTGTAAACATTTGAGAATAAGCTTGTACGGAATGGATTCTTAAACTAAAGTTGATCATAGTGTAGTTTTCTCTGTGCAGTTTTACTGGGCCTCAAAATTCGATACAAAAGATATAGCGGATAGTTTTTTGCGAAGAAATCCTATAATCCAATAATCCAAATCTCTGCAAAACAACCACAAGAGCAGATTGTGGCTGACACGTCTGCAAATCACAGCTAAATTTTAAAAGTTTTAGAGGTGTGTGACACAAATAAAAAGCGTCGAAGATTAAGGAAAATCACTTAAACAGTTTAAAAGGACTCGGTGGCTTACGATTCAACTGGAAGGTTTTTTAGCCTACCATGTAAATGGGTTTGCATAAGATTAGATTAGTATAAAATACTTTAAGATCGGACGCTAAGCTTCAACTTTTGACTTCTTTTATTAAAGTATATTACACTGGTAGCAGGTACAGCATTTATAAAGAAACAAGCTCCTTGTTGAATTTTGAAGAGTAATAGAATCGATTACTCCTAAAATTTGTTCTGTAAATTACTTGCACTTTTGCAAAAGTTTGTAGAATGTACAACCGGAAGGCCGTTTGTTTATGTACGCTGTTATTCCATTATAACATCCACAGCTTTGTCAACTAATTTTATTGGCGACAAAATTAACTTGAGTTTCAAGGTTTCCTCTCCGCCCCGGCTTTTAATGGTCATCTAAGTCTTTTAGCATTTTAAGTTCGTCGGACACGCAAAGTATGTCCGTACGGGACAAATAAGGCAATTGAATTTAATAAAATAATTGACGTCTCCCAAGCGGGCGTGATTTCAGGCATTGTCTTAACTGATAAGGATCGCTTTGGGGTGTTTTAAGGCGATATTTTCTCTCAAAAGAACTACTTAGCTTTAGAAATATCCAAAGCTACAACAGTTTAATGCATATTATACTTAAGAAGCAGGGAATAAAATTTCCATCTATTAACCTAAAGAAATATTTATTTCAATGATATACCTACCAGATTTTTTATGTTATACAGTAATAATTCTAGTGCTTGTATTTGGTACCGACTTTTTAGGGACTAATGTTTGCCATTAATTTTATTTCAAATCTTTTGCTTCTTACCAAGCGGACGTAGATTCACCCGGGTTTATATCCGTGTATAGTACAGCTTATATAATATAAACTTTTAATCACGTCATCCATGACTCTATTCTTAAAACCATTATTGCCAACCATAGAAATATTCATAGGCGGACTGACGAAATTGGAATTTAAATGTCCCGCGCGCGATTCAGTTGGTTGTACTACTCTAAAAAACGCGAAGTAGCCAAATCGATATGTTGACAACCCGGCATTTAGTGGTATTACGAGTTTTCTCTTACGTACTTACACTTATTTTAATGTTGACGACTCTCGTAGTAATTGTAGTGTCGTTTTCTCCAAGGTTAGAGTCGTGAATGACAGCGGGCGTTATCTGTAACTGCTACTGAATCAGCCGGAATTTTATCATTTTACGGAAATAGTTATGACCCCGCCTGAAATGTTAGCAAAAACCGTTTTGCTTGTTACATTAGATTTCTCTACAAAGCAAGTTGTGATCTGCTTATGAGCAGTTTGGTTGCATTGATCATCGTACTAATGTGTGGAAAGAAGACATCGTGCGAACAATCCAAATAACTGTTGTTATCTCTGTGGGAGTGACGTCGTAGTACAGTAAAGGTCAACTTCTTTTATGAAAAACGTATACCTACAACGCTAATTTTGGTGTAAAAATTAGCGACCAAGGCAAGTCCTGGGCTGTTTGCTGCCAAAAATGTAGGAACAAATGTTTAAGCTTTGAAGATGCTTGTTATTTTTGTTAGTTTAATGGATTCAATAGAAAAAATAAGAAACAAATTCTACTCAGGAAGAACCGCTAGTGTATTGCAACAATATTTCTGATTTTCAAGGTTTCAAGGTTGATGGCGGACTACTTTTGGACGTTAAAATGGGGTATGCCTTTAAAAACACACAGCCGAATGTCCGGACAACGCGGGTTTCTCGTAAAAAAAACAAGCTTTCACTCAAAAAAATCCCAATCTTACTACACCACTTGTATTCCAGAAATAGAACGAAATTTATTATTAATCAATTGATTAAGGGTGCTATATTTTATTTACTCAAAAAAATTGAAAAGCCTATTGATTTTTATAAATTCTGAAAGATAGTGGAAATTCCTGCGAAATTAAGCCCGAGCCTGGCCCGGTTGTCACGAAACACACCGTATCGGGGGGATTATCCGTAAAAGCCTCTTCTATAAATTAGAGGGAATGACGAAAAACAGTCAAAGCACGCGTCCTTGAAGTCCTGACGGCGCGTATCTGCTCTCCCTCTTCGACGACGCATCATTGTCGTTTTCTTTAGACTTCATCCCGTCATCTGGCCCGAATTTGAGCCCGCAGTCGGGCGGGGCGGACACAAAAACATCCGAAGCGTGTTTCGAAAATCTCGTACGTTAATTAGTTACAACAACCGCCGCGTTTCGTGTTTTTTTTTATGGATCCCGTGACGTCGCGTTCTGGTATACCCGACACCGGACCCAAGAACATCTGAGGAAGACGCCGTTTGTACCGGGACATAAAAATTTTGCCTATGAAAGAAACGTTCACACTTTAACTAAACAAATATTAGAAGAAATTGCGTCTAAACTTTAACACTAAAAACAAAAGACCTACGGACAGTATACAAAATATTAAGGGCGTTCCACACCAACGGGTATCGCAAAAGTGTGCTGGAAAACAATTTTTGCTCGCCGGTATAGTACAACCACCGATCTATCGAACTCATAAAAAATGCAAATCCGTTATGGTCGTATGTACAACTGACGTGCTAAATAATAATTGCTATAGTTATGTCCCGGATGATTTTTGTTTGACAAGAAGAAGAAGAAGAAATTTCGTTTCCACTAGGGTGCTTTTTGAAAAAACTAGATTTTCCTAAGAAATTAATGGTTCATTATATTAAATGCTATTTGCCATTAGGCAAGTAAAGAAAAGTTTCATTTACAATTTTTCCCATGATCAGGTGACCCGGTAAATTGTATTTATGAGGGTCACATACTCCTAGACACAATTTTCAAAAATTAAATGAACATTTTAGAAAAACAATAAAAATAGAAAAACCGTCCTATTCTACGTGGAATGATCTCCTCAAAAAAAAAATAGAGTAACAATTTTTTATTATTTTTCAATATAAAATCCCCCTTAACTTCAATAAACTTCACAATAGTTTCTATCACAGGCTTCGGTTCCGACCCACAGAGTTCCAAAGAAGACACTCGACACGGCATTGTTTTTGAATAGCCGAAAGGTTTTTAGGAACCCATCTTGCACACCTAAATGATGATGCAGATTTTCTTGACCTTTAAACGTCGATCACTCAATGCCACCTCTTCCACAATTGCAACAATATCTGCCGTTATGACCTCCACTGGTCCTCCTGCCCCATTCGAAAATGTTTTGCCCATTCTTTCTCTACAGGGTACGAAGGAAAACTTTGGCCGTACACAGCTGCTAACCCTTTTTTGTCAAAAACGTTATGACTGCTCTATACTCAATTTGCGACATTTTTTCGGACACGTCTCGTTTAAAATGCCGTCAATAAAAAACTGTTTGACGCAACACGTCATTTTTTTTCGCAGCCCACTAAGATATATATTTAAAGGGAGACAAAGTTTTTGTCGTGTTACTGGAGCGGCATCTAGGTCAGGCCGGGAAATTTTGGCGCCAACCTGGACATTAAACCTATATTAACCCTTCCAAATTTCAAATCGCTTCAAAGCATTCACTGCCTTGCCTTTTGACGGGTACCATGCTATGGAGAACCAATGAGTTTGCGTTAAATAACGTTTAACGGATACCAAATGGCGGGGCATATAGACGCAATAACAACTGCAACATCCCGCGCACATTGAAAAGTATTTGGAGCGATCGATATCGATCGTAGGTTTTAATAATAACCCCCCTTCTATAAACGCGTTTTATTATTTTATATTTTCGTTGCAGCTAGAACCCCCGTCAGCTTCGAAAAGGGAAGTCCGAATGGCCTTTCCAGTCACGTCGGTTTAAAATTAGAAGGCGTTTTCAAGCACCGACCAGCATCGCATTCGAAAACAATGGATCTCGGTAAGACAGAATTTATTAACACATTACGTATTATAATATTTATAATATTCCTCCGTGCGGGATTTGAATTCAGCCTGCGTCTCTATTAGCCTGCCCAAAAAATATTCAAATCTCTCCCGATCGGCGACGTCGTGAATAATTGATGAGTATAGCGTTCGAGACGAGAGACAAGTGCCTCCGGATTTATTTCGTCGGTATTGTTTTGTCATTCCTATGCCGTGGTCGTCTTGGGAGATGAGATTTTTGAACTTGAAGAACAATAGACAAGTCCCGGAGAACCCGGCGTCTAAAAATAGGGCAATGGGGGAGGACGATATATAGTTTTCCGCATTTGAATTTGCTGTGCGCATTTTTCGAATATTACAGTAACAATAAGGCAACCATCTGTAATAATGAATCTAAACTTCATTACCGGTAGAACAATGATTTATTTCGGACAGAGACTTTTGTAATTCAAACAAATGGACCTTAATTTTTGTCCTAGGATCGACCCGGGTTCAAAATATTTATGATAATTATTACCTTTGAAATATTGGGAAAATGATTCGTCCTTAAACGAGCACGATCCTTCAACTACATTGAAAAAGACTATTTTATAACCTCAAAAACAAGAATTGCTAGTGAAAATTGACCCAAAATAAATAAAAAGACTTGGTAGAAAAGATGGACCAATTAGATGATTACTAATAATCGTTGCCCAAACATCCTATAGTTGCTGATAAAAGCAGAGTACAAAAAATGGTTTGAAAAGTGCGATCGTATATCAGCGAAAATATTCCACTTGAAATGGCTCAATTTTAAATGAGGTGGCTTTTACTTGATGCAAATTCATTTATCAAAATAAATAAGAACTAAAAGTTCAGATTTTCACGAAATTATACACCGTGTCTTTATCAAATGTAATATTTACACACTACCTGCTACTATATATACCGAAAAATGACCATAAAACCTTAATGTTGTTGTTGGAAGCCACCTCAGTTCAAAATTGAGCCATTTGAAGTCGAATATTTTTGTTGATATACGATCACACTTTTCAAACCGTTTTTTGTAGTCTGGTTTTATCAGCAACGATAAGATGTTTGGGCAAGGATTATTAGTAATCATCTGATAGGTCCATTTTTTCTACCAAAATATTTCAATAAGTCTGAGCCATTCACTATTCATAATTTTTGATTAGTCGATGTTGTGAAGATATTAATATGAATTATTTTAATCGGCCATCGAAAGAAAATGTTCACGTGAAAAAATATCAGTGGCGTACTAATTTTTTCCACCTAGTATCTCAAAAGTTAAGGCTTCTAGGACATAAGTTGGTATGACGTTTTTTTTTTTTTACTGTACTGACACATCGGCCTCTATAATGAATTGGAACTGAACGAAAACGGCGTCGAGAGACCAAAATCCGAAAAAAAAGGTGGCAGACGACCTCGACGGCGACGTGCTGACTGGACATGTCCCAAAAACGCCGCGAGCATCAAAACAAAATGGAAAACACCTGCATGCATCTCGATAATCGAATTCCTATCGAGCATTTGCATTTTGTCAAAACGGATTTTTTCCCATCATTGTGTTCGACAGCGGGTAACGATCGCGTTGTCAAGTCACGTAAACAGTCACGTAGATGACATAGCAATTGGCCCAAAAATGGAGCAAAATGACAAATTTCTGCCCACGTTAAATTTGGAGGGCTATATTTTTACAACTCCGTCCCCAATTCAAAATGCATGAATCCCGAAAAGGTCCTCTTTGTTAGACCCCAATCTTCCCAGATTAATTTTTCATCGCACAAAATTTAGTTTGATTAATTTATCATATTACTGTTGACCTTAATTTACGAGGGCAGCATCAAAACAATTTTTTTATTCTTTTTCAATATAATCCCCCTTAACTTCAATACACTTATTACATCTCTTTATCAATTCCTTTAAAAAAAATAATGAGCTAAAACAGCCTCTTTTAACTCAACTTCGTCGTCAAACCGCCGCCCACGTAAGTCCTTTTCCAAATATCCAAACAAATAATAGTCGCTGGGGGTTATATCTGGACTATAGGGAGGATGATCTATCTGTTGCAATCCACACTCTAAAATGGCAGCTTGTGCAACACCAGCCGTATGGACAGGTGCATTAACGTGCAAAAGACGCACGCCTCTGGTCAGTTTTCCTCGACGTTTTACACGTATACAGTCTGGCAATTTATGTAATAATGTTGCGTACTATTTTCCATTGACAGTGGATTAGTTTCTTTAAAATCTATCAAAAGAATTCATTCACGATCGCAAAAGATCGTGGCCATCACCTTTTTTGTTGACTCTGAATTTTCTTGGAGGTGCTTCACCCTTACGCCGTCACTCCATTGATTCTTTTTTCGATAGAGGGTCATAATAGAGAACCATCTCCCGTCACAATAGTTTCTATCACAGACTTCGGTTCCGACGAACACTTGTATCAGAAAGCTTACTAATGATTTTTTCAATCCTTGATACAGTAGCAAAAAATTGATCTCTTGATATATTTTAACTTCTATCTATAAATACCCATTCAAAGTAAATCATTTAATAAATCGGCCGCTAGAATCGGACCAAGTATCGCTCCCTGCGGTACACATTGGCGATCCGTATATCGCATTGTTCTGCTCCAACCCGCAAGTATAACGTTCAGAGTTAAAGGCCGCAATGCAAAAAGCTAAAAGCCGTGCAGACGACTTTACTTGGAATTTTCCCGCCGTTCTGTATTCATGAGACGATGGAAAACAAACGCGCTATCGAAATCTGTAAATAGACTCGTTTTTATCTTAAAATTCACGCGCCGCACATCTCCGAAGCCAGGCCATCCTGTCGGGATCCTTTTCTACCCCCCCCCCCCCCCCCCTACTACCACCGAGCTTATTATGGATTCCACGACCTTCCCGAGAATTAGTATTCAGCGGCGACTGGCATAGTTTTTGTTATAACGTTTCTTACATAGTTGGAAATCGTGCTACGAGAACAATTCGTTTCAGTTTGTTGATCAGCTCGCGATGTTTACAGACAATCCGAGTTACTTCTCGCTGGCCGCCGAAGAAAGAGCGATTCTGCGAAGAAAGGAGAGCTCGTCGGTGACGTCACTCGCTCGCCAGTTGACGCCCCCGAGGGGAACCCGTAGGGAGTTGTGGAACTTGCTCAGGTCGACGAGCACCAACTCCGCGGACTCCAACCAGGAGTTGCTCATCATGGGCGAGCCGCGTCTGAGCGACATGGACCCCGATTTGGCGTTCAAGCACCCCACGAAACCGAACCCGGCGAAAAGGCACCAGGAAAACGGTCATTCTGACCTCATGTACCTCCCGCTACCGACGTCGGAGGAAGCCGCCGACGAGTTGGACAACGACGAGGTTTTTATCAGCGAAGACTCCGCGAGGTACTACAACTTCAGTGCGGCGAAGAGGATCGCTAACGGAAACATCAGTCCGAGGAGGCATTCGATCGGAAACTTCTCCGGGAGGGACCGGACGAATAGTGTTGCCTCCTCTTCGAAGAGTTTCAGGGAAGACTTCAGCCAGATGGTGCAGGAGAGTGAAGTGGCGTCGCCCATCGACGAACACTCGCTGAGGCACAAGTCCTTCCCCAGAAAACGCTGCCTCAAGTGCGCAAAGGGTAAGTGCTTGTTCTAAATATACACTACAAGTGAAAATGTTGGAGTCGAGAGTCATTAATGCCAGTGCCAGGATATCGTTCTATTTATTTTTTTCCTGACCTGTGAGCACAACAGCACAATTGGTAGGAAGCAACGTTGCACAGAATACAATGGTGAACCAGCCAGGTCAATGTTATCTCAATTGTTCCATCGGAGTTCAACAATGTTGCCCCCTTTATTAACGTGATACCTAAATTGATTGATTTAAAGCTTTCGTCGCTTTGAAATGTTCCGACGAATCTATTTAGAGACCACCATGAGTAGTTGGCTGATTAAGGCGTCAGTTATTGCTTCGTAGTTAGATAGGTAATTTATTCGAGCAGTAACTACACGTAATCACACTTAAAGAAGGTTTACAATTAAATACCGCGCGTGTAACCACAACTACACCACACCATGGTCTGTGGTAAATAATCAGTTTCATAGAATCTAAATTCAGGCCAGTCCACCATCTATTAAAGAACACGCCATCATGATCTCTCCTCACGGCATGTTCGAAATTAATTCAATTTACATGCATAAAAGTTCCATTAGCAGTTCGCCCGCCCGAGTAATTTAGTTTTCAACTCTGGTCGAGTGGAATTCGATTCCGGCCAAGTTGCGAACGGACCCGAGATTTATCGCTGTTTCTTTTTTCACACTTCGCTGGCTACTGCTTCCGGTCGCACTTCGGAGCGGCTGCACAAAAAAAAAGAAATAATTTTGTACGAAAAGAAATGCATTTATCAAAATAAATAAGAACTGAAAGTTTAGATTTTCACGAAATTATATATTTTTACATGACAATTGTTTCGACAACACCGTGTCGGAGAGGTATTTAAATCTAATTGATCGTTAAGCAATACATTTGAATGTCTCATTTTGTTAATCTCCATGGCTTTCAATAAATTTAATTTTCTACTTTTTGTGGCTGTGTGTAATATATCAAAATTGTCGTCAAAAATGCGTTTTTCTGTGTTTGAGTGCGTAGCATAATCAGAATCTAGACTATTGTTTTTAAACGCTCTTATATGTTCGTTAATGCGTTTCTTGAAGGATCTACCTGTTTGTCCAATATAAATTTTAGGACAAGATCCGCATTTTAACCTGTAGACACCTGATTTTTGGGATTTTGGACATTTCGATTTATTGTTTTTTAAATATTTTCCTATTGTCTTGTTAGTTCTGAAAGCTATTTTTAAACCACATTTTGACAAATGTTTTGAAACATTGAGAGCAAGAAGTTTACCAAAATTAGAAAAATTCCACGTGCCATTGTATTTTTTTATTTTTAACGCCCTTTCTAGTATATATTCTCTAAAAAAACTAGATTTTACATGCAACGGCCATACTACGCTGATACACCAGATCCCGTCCGATCTCTGAAGTTAAGCAGCGTCGGGCGCGGTTAGTACTTGGATGGGTGACCGCTTGGGAACACCGCGTGCCGTTGTATTTTTTGTTTATTTTTTACGTCAGTTTTTTTGAAAATATTTTATAAATATAAGAAACGCGTTAAGTGTCCTAAATTTGCCAAAAATGTGTTTTTCTGTGTTTAAGTGTGTAGCATAATTAGAATCTACACTATTGTTTTTAAATGTTCTTTTATGTTCGTTGATGCGTTTCTTGAACGATCCACCTGTTTGTTCAATATAAATTTTAGAACAAGATCCATATTTCAAACTGTAGGCACTTGATTTTTGGGATTTCGGACATTTCGTTTTATTGTTTTTTAAATATTTTCGTATTGTGTTGTTAGTTCTGAAAGCTTTTTCAGTAGGTTCTCCTATGTATGTAATTGTTTTAAATTGTTCGCGTTCTGTAGTAGGTTTCCGATAAATAGAGTTTACTGTTGTCTGGATTTGTTTTTTATTTATAATTTTATCTATAATGGACGGATTGTTCAGTGCAATTTGTTTAATGATATTAAGTTCTTTGTTGTAGTTTTCTGTTGAGAGTGGCGCATTAAGAAGTCTGTGTATAAAAGAGTTAAATGCAGCCATTTTGAGGGTATAAGGGTGATTTGAGCTGTTATGTATGACTGTGTCCGTGTGTGAAGGTTTATGATATATTGTTTTGCACTTTCGTAATAGTTAAGTCTAAAAAATTAATAGAGTTATCCTGTTCAATCTCGATAGTGAATTTTATACGATTATGTATTGGGTTAGTGTAATTTAAAAAAGAATTCAATTGTCTGTCCGTTCCAACAAAGCAAGCAAAGACATCGTCCACATATCTATACCACCATAAAAAACTTTTACTTAAAGGATGTTCTAGTATGATATTTTCGAAATTATCCATAAAAATCTCGGCTAACAAAAGTACTGAGTGGGTTTCCCATAATTAAACCTTCTTTAGAGATATAAACCTGTCCATTAAATTCAAAATAATTTTGGTCTAAAGATACTATTAAGCAATCTAATAACTCTTGTTTCACCAATGGTTGTTTCCGAGTTAGGGTAAAATCTATCACATCCATAGGTGGAATACTGGGAAATAAGTTTTGTACATCAAAAGATAATAGTGTTGCGTTAGAAGGAATTTTGATATCTTTAATTTTGTTGATTAATTCAAAAAATTTTTTATTGCAAATAATTTTTCTCTAGTGATAATATATATCATTTTTGTATCTCCTGCGCAACCCCGCATCATATAGATATGTCCAAAATTTTATCTTTCCGCTAGCGCGTAGTAATAAAAATTTAATTGAAGCTATGCTTGGTCGGAAGAATGAAGAAAATAATTATAACCTCGAAACGTTTCAGAAACCAAATTTTCGACTTCGACGCAAACGTCTAACGTCAGATTAGTTGAAAGATCAAATGAGGAAAATAAATTATCATTTTCAATGAATTTTATTATAAGACTTTAGATTGATTATTAACTGTGGGTATAGATATATATAAATTCTTTGCCCGCGTAACGTATTAAACTATAATCTAACTGCACGGTGATTAGGGTTTGGAAACATATACTTTATCCAATGTAATAGAAAATTAATTCAACTTTACTTTTGTCTTTTGTTATCACATAAAACACAACTCATCCAGATCATAGAACGGAAAAATATTTAATCACTAAGCCAAATTTTTTGCATTTATGACGTTATTTCTTTGACAGTTAATGGTTTGAGAATATTAATAGCTTTTTGGAATATTTTTTTCGGTTCTAAATCATTCACTGAAAATTTATAAATTATGACTATTTTCATTATAAATAAAAAGTATCGCTGAGTTCCACAAATTACATTGACTTGAAATGTTGACCATATAAATTGTTCATACATATTTCTAGAAATATATGTTAGAAAAACACTTTCTTTCTTTTCTTTAGAATTATGTATATCTACGCTTGGCGCTTTCAAATAAATTCTACGAAATTTTTTATTATTATATTTTCGTTGTTAAATCGAGGCCTGAACAGTATCTAGAACTTCTAGATGGCTGCCCTAACAAGGCCTATTGTTGACCGTTGTTTCGCTTATTTAACTTTGGTTATGTAATTATTTCTATGTAACTTTGATGGTTATAACAATAAATGGATTATTATTATTATTATTATTAATTGTTGTTGAAGAAGTTGAACACATGCTTTGCTTTACAATGATGAGTAAAATTTGCGGTACAATTAAAAAACTGTAGATCTGTAGAAAGACCATGCAAAAAAATCACCCAGAATATGAAATAATGAAGATATTCTTCAAATATTTTTTTTTAATTTAATTTAAAAAGCTGCTGTTTCCCAGAAGCGAGTTGTTCCATCCACCCCTATTATTTTTTTCTTGTTGGCTGTTAAGTTCAAATATGGCCATAAAATTAATATCAATTTTGCTAATGAATGGATAAAAGTTAAAAATACGTAATTGTAAATAATTGATAATAAAGGCTACACGCTGATCGTTTTCTCGTAAAATAGAGCCAGCTACACATCTGTGAATATTAACCAATCAAAACGTGTTTTTTTGACAGATCACCATGGCAACGGATGACTTTTAGTTGGAAATCAACCGACAAAATCAATTTTGATTGGTTGAAAACTACTGGTGTGGAATTTTCTTGCCGAATACCACACGAGATCAAATTTAATCCGGAAATTTGACCTCTAGTGGGATTACCCGAGAATACGTTACACATCGGGAATATTTTTAAAGCATCTAAATAAAACGGTTGACTAAAATCTATTAACAGGTTTTCTCAACATGAAAAATGAAATTGGAATGACTATCAAGAAAATACATACAACATTATTTGCAAAATCTAAACTCGAGCCAATTGACTCAAGTAAATTTACCGCGAATAAATTTTTATTAAGATGAAAAAAGATTTCATTCAGTTGTAACAAACATTGGTAAGCAAATGGTTTGTTTAATTAATCATCCTGTTTTCTTCTTCAGAGCTTAACTAAAACTCTACTCTGTGTTGTGAATTTACGAACGCACGGATGTATAAATCTAAAATAACTTTATTAATAATGAATACACTGATTTTAAATTAACACTCTCTCTCATGTTAGGTTAGGTTCTATTCAACAACGTTTCCTCTTCACCTTTTGCAGTGGATAAAAGACAAGTAATCACAGCACTCTGTACCTGCTCATATATTGTCTGGTGACAGGTAAAGACCTGAGTGGCGGTTAAGATTGTATGTTTGCTTAGAGATTTCTATAGATTCTCTTCTGTGTGTAGAAGAATTGATGACAAGCAAGAAGTATAGTTTTATCGAATCAAATCAAATCAAATCAAAATAATAATAACAATTGAATATTTAATTTCTCAAAGCAACTTCCGCAGGCTACTGTAATACTTTTCACAAAACTTCTGGATTCCTGCTGCGTCGAAATTGCAGACGTTTCGCCAATCATCCTGTTGGCTTCTTCAGACAGTTCAGACAGTTTCAGTCAAGCTCTGAAAGCAACAACTCGCTTCCGGGAAACAGCTAATCGCCGTGCAGTTAGATTATAGTTGAATACGTTACGCGGGCAA